CACCACATTGCGCATGATTTTCGTAAACCAATACGGGCTATTTAGCCACCCCATAGGCAAGGCGTTCATCTCGTACAGAACACCACAAAAACGAAAAGTGAAGAAACGCCGATCCGCTGGGCGAATAGGGATGTGGTAAAAGGCGTCCGCCAAATCAACCTTCACCATCCAGGAGCCCTCGAGGCCCATACGCCGCAGGGTGCGGAGGGTTTCATACCGGCACTTGTAAGCTTTCTGCGCTACGTTCATCCTCTTCAGGTTAACGACCAAACGCCAAGAACCACTGTCCGGTTTCGGGACACAAAAAGCGTTCACCACATGATCAACCGCACGGGAGGGGTCTACCCGCGAGATGGCCCCGAGCGCCACCAGGCGAGGCTCCTCCTTCTCCAACCACCAACGGCTCTGCTCGTCTGTAGCAGGAAAACTTGGCAGGTCAAAGGCAGGCGGCGGGCGGTTACCTCGAAACTCCACCGGGACACCATGCTTCAAGACGTGCAATGTGCGCGCATCTGCTCCAATTGCCTTCCAAGCGGCCAGCCGCGCCGAGGCCCTAGCATGCAGGGGCACGGAGGTGGTGGACATATCGGACTACTCGTGCTGCCCCGGAAACTCCACGCCTGGGGTTGTAGAGCCCGTCGCCACGCGGAAGGGATGGGACGAAGCGCACACATAGCCACCACCGGTGTGGGCGGACGTAGATTTCCTGATCCGCTAAAGAGCANACCTTCAGCGTCGCGCCCAAACCTCGGGGATGAGCTTGATGAAATACGTCGTCAAGAGGACATTTAGTGTTGTAGCTGCAGGGGCAAGCTTGTTGGGTCCGGGGTGGGCGGGAGTTGTTGATCCGCTCCGGAGAAAGCAGGGGGCATAAACTGCGTCGCAGAAGCCCTCGAGGAAATGCCAGTCTGTGACATTCCAGTTAGCTATGTAGGATAGCTGTGAGTTGCCTCCACCAGCGGAGTCATGCCTAGCGATACCGGGACATGCGCCGCCACTAGCACTACTAAAGGTGCTTCAATAAGGTGGGCTAACTCTATGGTGCTAGTGCTATATATTCTCCACTGCACTCTACCCGATGGGTCTCGCTGACGAGCCGAAGGCACAGCGGTGTAGTAACAGAAAGCGCGCCGAAGGCGCGGGACCTGTTTTGTTGATCAGCGCGCGCTGAACAACAAAAACAAGATAAGCTAACCAGCTTAATGCGCGCAATAAATGACGGCCCTGAGGACACGGGCCGTTGCGAAACAGTTAGTCTAACAGTTACGCATTGGGCCTTACGCCCAACTAACCCAGCTTACTTACGCAAGCTCGCATGAGACCCGCAGTCGATATGAGAAAATTTCAAGTTTGTGCCCTCCTCGAAAGCCTTTGGCATGATGGGATTCCTGAAATTGTGTTTACGAACGGTGCCACGGGCAAGGGCGCGTGCTCCAAGGATGCTGGGTTTCCTGGGAATAATACTTTTTGGGCACCAGCATGGCAACTCCCTAGCAAAATGACGTTAACTGTGAACCCCACACACACTCTTTCTGTACTTCCTTTACGCACTTTCCGTTTTTCACTTTCTGCATTTTCGAGCACAACATGAAGATGCGACTGTTACAGTGGACCCCGAACGGGTCGAGTGCAACGCCCCTTAGGAACGCCTCCCGCACAACACTGTGGGCCTTATTCAAAAAGAACTCGGCCAGGCCGTACTAACTTCACTGGACACAAGGGATCAGTTAGTAGACTCATACAGTAAAAATGAGGTTCCGACGTGAGCCCTAAAACCTCATCATTGTACATCGGTAAGCGTCAACCTTGTCTGCGTCGTTGACATATAAGAAAGGGTGGTTGTGAGGCATGTGTTCTCAACGTTTTGGCAAGTTATCCCGTGCCGCAAAAGCAGTTAAGCGGGCCCAAAAGTCAGAGATAACATCATCAGTAATGCGGTTAAGCCTGAAGACCTTCCCTAAACAACAAGCGGCGACCGAGATGAACCAACATGAACCAAACTACAATGCTCCGCATGGTACGAGTGAGGATGGGAAACAAGATAAGTTAAAATACGGCGTTACAGATATACAGTGTATCGGCTAGATGGTTCTTGATAACCAAATGTCCGCATAGACCGGTATTAAGTAACCGGAGGAAGGCTGTTGGATAGACCCCTGAATGGGTGCGACCCCTGATGGGTGCGACAGGCGGCAGTACGAAAATACGCCAAGGAGTTGTTCCGCCGTCGCGTCAAATGTAACGATTATATATAAAAGTCATCAACGTTAGTAACGAAGTGCAAGTAACACTGCAAGTCGGGCATGCGCAAATCGGACGTCCGAAATCCAACCGCCAGTACGGCCGTTTTGAGTTCGAATGTCTAAATTAGCACAGTGCGAAAGTTGCCACTTTCGAGCAGCAGTCCGGTTCATCATTCCGGGAAATTTTTTAACTTCTAACAACTGTGTCCTGTGTCCAACGATACCAACAGCAGAAAGGCACCAAAGGCGGGAAAGGTGAGGTCCAGGAGCAACCCCTGGCGTCAACTCCTCGAGCTTAAAACGCCCGGTGTGAACCCTACACTTAGGGCTTGGCAGGGATGCGCTTAGCTGGCGTGAGCGTACAAAATGTTCCGCGTTCTTCCATTTTCCACTGGCACTTTCGGGCACAACTCTAATTGGTCATTTTTAACTGCAAACCGCCATATTTTCCCTGTGAAATTGCGGGAAAGTCAGTTGAAGGCCAGCGCCTGGTGCATGTTTGCGCAAAATAACCGTTTTCGCGTACGCTGACGTACACAGAGCTTCGGTTGTACAGAACTTCCATGGCTATATGGCTTTCCATTGAATTGCGCTTAATTCAAGTACTCCGTAAAATTTTACTTTTTGTGTGCTTCCTTTAGCCAAATGGATTCAGCATGCGTCTCCCCTTCCTATTAGTTCACTTTGTCTTCCTTTTACAAACATCACCTTGCATAGACGCTGTCCAAGATGAGCTATTCATCATCCCTATACTCTGGCACGGGCCGAATAATCAGATCACCGAGATTAAGGAAGCGCTATCGTTGTCCTTTCTTGTGCCGGGGTCGGTTACGGTAATTCCCAACCTTTTGGAGCACAAATTCAGCGATGGTGGTGTGAACCAAATGTTAAGCAAGGAGCTTTTCGATTTCACTGTTCTGGACCGTGCGGATGTGCCGTTTGTTTTGTTGGATGAATTTCTCAAGACTTGGGACGGCGTGCTTGATGCTATTTTCTTTTTTCGGGATGATGAATTTCCACCGGCAAGTAACCATTATGCAGGTATCGCAGGCGGCCCGTCACCCGTTTGACCTTGGTCGCTGAATGGTGCAGATCGACGGTTTGGTCAGGGATATGGGCCTCAAAGCACCAGATCAGGACAAATGGTTTCGATCACCAATAAGTATAACAAGGGGGTGCAGGTGGGATTTTTGAGCTGTACATCACCCTGCCTCGACTCCTTGCCCACCACCTCTCGTTACACGCGTGGCAGACGGAGGAATCCGTACCCTGCGCCTTCCACCGCCTCGTCAGCAGCCAACATCCACCAGTAACAAAAAGTTTCCGCCCAGGGCAATTCACCATACAGGGACGCTCAAGACCTGCCCTCCTCAGTATCGTGCGCCACTGTGCCCCAACGTTTTGGTGCATCTTAAGTCCTGAGGTTTCGCCACTGCTCTGCAAGCCGCTGCTCAGCCCTACTTCCCCGCCTTCCTGTCCCTTCCTGATGGAACAGGCAGGATAAGATCCTGCGGCTGCGAAAGATGCTTAAGCCGTACCGTTACGTGGGCATGCTGTCATACGACGACTTCACGCTGCAGACACACAGGCTTGCTGGTACGCTGCTGCTAAATTGCGGCTCGGACCTGTGCTGTCATGCATTCAACGACCACAGCATATTGCTGAGGACCTCTCCACAGGTATGCACTGCACGGTGGACAGGATTTGGGAAGCCAGAGCAGCGTAGCTGCCAGAACCTGGACTCCTAACTTAACTGTAACCGAAACCGTTGAGCAGTTTCGCGCAACGGAGAACGGACCTTCGCGGTTGTGCAGTAGGTGTGTTGGAAAACAAGCGTTGTTCATTTATCTATCATTTAATGACTAAAGGAAATCATGCACGCGCACTAATTTGCCTTTAGATAAGGAGGAACTTATCAATCAAAATGCAGCAAGAAGGTGTTTTAACAAGGAGTGAACGGTTGCATTGTCGCTGTAACGCAGGTGCGCAAGCTGGCAGATGCTTACATTCGCAAAGCCATCGGAAAGAGAGAACGTTTCGTCGCCAGGTAAGGCTGCTGGTATGGCTGAGGTATTTTGCTGGGCTAGTGTACAGCTGAGCCGCAGTTTCTCAAGATCTGTGCCGGGCAAACGAAGCGGATGTACTACTGGGGCCTTGCGGAAAGAAAAAAAAAGGCCTACTGCCATGCAGTCCCACTCGGGCGCCCTTTGCCGATTTGCCGCGTGTGTACGACACGCTGGGTACTGAATTCCGGGTCTGGGACCGGCCCCCCTGATTTTGATTTTGCGCAGTCACGTCCGGCCCATGCCCGATGATTGCGTCAAGTTGTGGCAATCTCCCGAAGAGGACCTCGACCCCATCCAGTTGAAGGAAATTTGCCGGAATGATTTTATGTACAGCAGGTACGTAGCCGTGCAAATGTGCCCTGTATACGCACCATGCAGCGGAAGCCGAGGTGGATAGTCACCCATGTTTGTCTCGCCAGCGCTGTCACTTATATTGGGGAGGGCATCAGCTCTGCCCAGCGTCTCTCCCTTTGTTTAAAGTGGGGGAGTGAAGTGTTGTGCGGTGAGCGCCGAGGACCATGGGGGAAGGGTGCGGCCCCGGCAGTTGGACCCATCTCCTCGGCTCTGTCCCTCAAATCCAGTGGGACATCACCTTGCTGCGACTTCCACGACGTGCCAGGCATGGTGAAGGGCGCTGGCTTTGTTCTTTCCCTCCCGCAGGCTGGTCCCCAATCTCCTGGCCCTGCAGAGGCTGTACAACACAACCACCGTCTTCATTATGACACACCCCACCATCCGGCCTCGGGTGGCCAGGATGCTGAAGGTGCGGTCACGAATGTGGCTGTGGTTAGGAGCCAAGGTTTAGTTGCAGTCCATGCGGCGATTGGGCCTCTTGCTTTGAACAGGAGTTCGCTTGGCAAACTCGTTTTACGTGGGACAATCCAGCAAGTGTGCTATGGCTCATTGTTGACTCTTAACGCACGCGCGACTCTCTGGTTCCCACAGGCCGGAGGAATCAACGCCGCATTCCTTGACTTGTCGGACCTCATGTCTATCAACATGGAAGCCGCACGGCCACTGCGCAGCCCGATGTCTTTTTCCCTGCTTGCGATTGTGGAGGAGGCTGTGGCGGCGGATGCGAGGGCGTTCCTGGGCACTGCGGAGAGCAGCATGACCGGCATGATCGTGCAGGTGAGGGAGTCCACTGCACGGAAATAAGGGCTTGTACGGCAAACAGGGATTGCAAGCTCCTGCATGCCCATGCCTGATAGCGAAGTCCTGACCTGGGGCTGTGCCTGCAAATGGGGCTTTGGCTTGGCTGCTGGCGTCAGCAGCGGTAATTTGAACGGGCCTGGATTCGGGCAAGCGGGGCGTGTACTTTGCTTACCCTGTTACGGCGGTCCTTATCTGTTTGCTTGCCCATTTCCGGCAATGCACTATGCAATCGAAGACCGGGAAAGACGGACTGAACGACGGTCCGGCGGCTGTGCTATAGTCGTTGCTCAATGACATCTTCAACGATATGTGGCTCTGCATTCCTCGTTTCTTCAGCCCACGCTTGTGCCTTCCCTCCAAACCTGCTGTGCTGCTTTTATGCTTGTCGTGTGCCCATGTCAACAACACCGCAGACACCTTACCATTCGTATACTGCGTTCCTGCATTGGCTGGACATCAACCCCCCAAATGATCTCACCTTGCCTGTACACTCACCAGCGCCTGCACCCATCCACGCCATGTCCCCAGGAGCGGATTGCCCGAGAGCTCAACCCCAGGCATTGCTACTTCTTCTCTCCACGCCCTAGCAACGAGCTGATGCCTCGTCGAATCACCAACCTATATGCGAACCGAGACATGGAGGGGCAGGAGGCAACGTTTAAGAGGAGATAATGCTGTTTGCTTGGTTGTTCGGCTCGTTTGTCTTTCCGATATCCAGGTTAGGTTGGCAAACCGCTCCTGGCCAGCTGGGCCAGTCCGGGGCGGTGAGTTGCCGATGTCTTGTGATGAAGTCCCCTGTAAGCCGATGGTCATGCATAGAGGATGCCCCATGCGCTCGCTGAACCCAGGCCAAGAACCCAGGCCAAGGTGTGAAGTGCATGCAAGCCCACCGCAACCGGTAGACAACTGCCGCAGAAATGTTAGTCCCAGGCAAACCCCCGACAGCGACTTACTCTACCCCTTTACGGTCCTGCCGTACGCACCAACACAATAAACCGAGTACGCTCTCGGCAAATACACAAAAAAACTTGGTTTTCCTTCGTTCTCTCAGAAAACCAGAAGTTTCCAATGCAGCACTCCAGGCTGCATTTGTGTGTACCAGAGGTCGGCAAATCGGTTTCTACGGCTACGGGAGGGCATAATTTCGGTCAATAAACCTAAAGAAAAACATTTTGGCGCCTTCCGGCGTCAAAAACAACAGCATTTCAGGGCTCCACGGTCCGTACACATTGCAGGCCGATCGTTTTACAGGGGGGGAAGACAAGGGTTCGTCGCCAGGCAAGTTCTTGCGCCATGAAGTTAGTGTCGCCCCCCGAGCTATTCATTCTCGCAAAGCCGACCGCATGCGGTTGAAGCGCGGGTCGCGAAGGATATTCTCGACCTTATCGGCGATGTGCGTGTAGAGGTGCATCCTAGCGGAGGACTTGTACTTGGCAATTGCCCCCGTCAACATTGCATCTGTAGCGACCTCCAGCTGGTCATAGAGAACTGAGTTTGACGGCTTTGGTTGCGTATTGTTCCGGGCATAGCAGGAGGCCGACTACTGCCATATCATTAATTAGAAACTATAAACGCGTTGAGAACGGTCATATACTTACGGCGCACCGCATAAAGCCTGACAAATGTATGTTTCGATCTGGCGACGTTAAAGCAGGCGGCTTGTGTCTTACGATCTAGCTTCGGTCTGAGAAATGTTCTATGACAAATATCCTGTACTAGTTTCCTGTCAGTTTCCGTTGGCCGCCATGAACCTGGCCCGGAGCTGCGTAAACTGGTAGCTACCGTTGCGTAATGAGGCAGTTGCTGCGCAAAAGGGTACCTGCGTCTTACGTTGACCATACGACAGTTGTACGAATGGCGGGCGCGTTTGCCATATATAAGGCGCGGCCTGACCAATATTTTCTAAGGGATATTCCAATCATACAACTCCCGCGCACGGTAGCAGGACGCACCGGCCAAGGCAGTTTGTAACGGATATCGCCTTCACTTGGCGTGGATGACTCCCACCCATTTTATCTTGTCAACAGCCAACCAGGTTCCAACCTGACATTGGGCCTAGTGGCCAAGAGGCAGTAAAACTCTGCTCACATCAGGCTCACAACCACACCTGGGCCTACGGTCTCAGGACAAAACTCTGATTCTGCTTCCGCTCGCGCACACAAATCTCGATCCTATCTCGCTTAAGACAATCTACTGGTATCGATTCCTTTCTATAAACGATCCTGGGCGCCCCGGTGTGTCCATCCAGCGGTTCCCCCAAACGCGAAAATATTTTTGGGCTGCCGCTGGGTGCCGCCCGCCGCGGCGCGGCTGGTATCGAGACTAAGGTTTCAGCCCTGTCTCTAGCTACTTTCGAACAGTCTGCTAGGCGTCCCACTGGTTGTACGTCTCATACGCCATGGAGAGCCAGCATCAATCTCACTTTATCACACACCCCCATCCCTCGAGCGTCTCGTCTGTGCCTATCTTCCGGCTGGGAGACAGTGCTCGGCAATGGGTCGCCAGGGTTGAGAGATGTGGTCGGATGTACGGCTGGAGTGAAGAGGCTCAGCTGGACGTCGCCATCTGCCGCTTAGGAGATGAGGCCATCTGCTGGCAAGCCGGCATGGAAGCGTCTCTCCCCGATTGGCCTAGCTTTAAAGCCGCGTTTCTGGAACGATTCGATCCGACCCAAGAAGAGTTGTTTAGCCGATTAGCTCATTGTCGGCAAGAACGGGGCGAAGCTGTACGGACGTACGCTGACCGCTACCGCGACCTAGCTGCACAACTGGGCGTGGACACGCAACACGACCCCATCCACATGCATAACTTCTTACAAGGACTACAACTCAAGGTTTACAACAAGGTTTTCCTCATGCGCCCATCTAGCTTTGAAGACGCCGTACGATGCGCCATCTATATCAACGAGGGCTTGGACCGCCAGGATGTGGCTGGCCACTACGAACCGTTTCCCCCTCAGCGCACACGCGATATGGATTTCCACAGCCATCCTTCTCGGGCTACCCCGCGCTGGGAAAACCGTCATGGCGACCTTCGTGGTAATGTGCCTGATTCCCCGACCCCTAGCGGCTCACGACCGGATGGTCCCCGAACTCCAGTGGCTACACAACGTCCCATGGGACCACGGCAACCAGAGCAGAAGCCCGCTGGGAATGCTCCCTGGCAGAGTCGCCCAAAACCTAAGGTTTCGACACCCCCAGAGAATGAACCCCTGGAGTCACGAGTTGACGACATCGCCCGCCAGTTGTCACGATTAACCCTGTTGCTGGAGCGCAACCCTAATGTACAATTGTGGGAAAGGGATAACACTCATCGTGAAGACCCACATTTTTCCCAGATGGAGCATCCGGACATCTACTCTTGTTTCCGGCCGGCTGCCCCACCAGCTGCATATGTCAAACGTGTGGCCGATTTTGAGCCTATACCGCTTCCCCGCAAGCGCCCAACGGCTAACCCTGGCCAGGATGCGCCTCAGCCTACTACTACCGGGCGTATAGGCATTGTACGACCCGTGGTGACACCGTTGGCTTCCCCGAATGCCCCGGCTACGGCTACCCAGGCTCATCAGCCACAGGAGCCAGCAGCCCCGGGTGCGCCACCTCCAGAGCGTACTGCCGCAACCGGAGGTACCGTCCCAGCTCAGCGAGGCATTGCCAGCGCTGAACCTCGTCTCCGACGACGAGTAGCTGAGTCTGGCAGCCGCAGCGATCCGATCCCTGCGGACCCACAAGAAGAAGAACGGCGTATTGCTGAGGACATCATTCATAAGGTCAACAAGTATGCACTACCATTGGGTACAACTCTACGATGCAACCCTATCAGCATCTACACGAAGGTTGGCAGCCGAGTCCTTGGGTTGGCTCGTCAGCACACCAACACTGGCAACCCCCAGCCTGGCCCCATGTTTGGTCCAGCGAGGCCTGCGGCAGGCACCATGCAAGCTTCTCTTTCAGAGCGACCATCTTCAACAATACCCGCCTGGAAGTCTGATGCCGTCGTACCACCCTGGCAAGTTTGCAAAGCTACCGTATGGATAATTGATGGACATGGAGGACAAGTTCCCGTCCCTGCTGTCATCGATTCTGGGGCTTCTCATAGTGTTGTTACACGAGACACACTACGGCGTTTAGACCTTCTACACCTGATGGAGGAGACGGAGGTGACGTTCCTGAATGCGGATGGCAATCGTGGTCGGGCCGCTGGACGTGTCAGTGAACTGCAAGTGTCCACTGGCGACCTAACGATGCTGCTGAGTCCGTTCGTCAGCACCGCCCTCAACTATCAGCTACTCCTGGGCACTGACTTCCTCTACCCAATACGAGCAAGCATTTCGTACGACAGTAGTCGCCTGGAATACACCAATGACCGGGATCAGCGGTCCAACATTGCTATCCATTTTCTTCGGAGCCCCAGCTCTAATATTCCCCCGTCTGCTCGGCTTTGGGACGACTCACCTGAGCAAGACGACACTCAACCAGCTTCCATGTTGACGGCCGAGGCATCAATACAGCGGCCTGAGGCGCCCACGCCACAAGGGCAGATGTCACCTGCGGCTATCAATAGAGGCTCCGCGCCTGAGACCATTGATTCACCTGAGGGAAACAGCGGAGAGGTTAGTGATGGTGATTCGACAGCCCGTGGGGACATGGACATGGAACACATCGTCGGCCTACTTGTACGGCAAGTGCTTAGGTCAGACGAGATTCCGTCGGAAAGTGCCTCCAGCGGCGAATGGGCTGCGGATGCATGGAGTACCGACAGCGTCGTCAGTTCTGGCAGTGAAGAGGCTCGGGCAAATGTCTGGCCTGGAGATGAGTTCGAGTACGACAATGACTCGCACTCCGGACCTGGACCGCCAATATCGACCCCTGCGGATCCATTCCGTTCTTTTCCTGAAACTACTCCCGTCTTAAGTTCGCGATAGCTCCTGTTACCACGATTGCTAACTGAGGAGTGTGCTTCCGTTACCCACAGCCATGCTGCGGCAGCACAGTTTGATGCGAACATGCCAGCTGCCCTTGCCCCAGACGGCTTGGATCATGACGGACATTTAGAGGAGGCTCATTTTCGCGGGTTGGTAGCCCGTGCGGTTCGGCCAGTCAAGAGCCCTACCCCTGAGCTACGCGAGTTGCTAAGCAGCAAAGTAAACACCGATCTTCAGTGCCTCGACCACCAGCAGCTGGTCGCATGTTTGACTGACAACTTTGACATGTTCGCCTTAACCAACCGAGAGCTAGGGCGTACGTCCTGGGTGTCCATGAAGGTGGACACGGGAGATCATCCTCCTATCGTGCAGAATCCTTACCGTCTGTCACGAACGGAGAAAGCCGCCGTTGATGCTGAGATGCGGCAGATGCTACAGGACGGGATCATTGAATTGTCCAACAGTCCTTGGGTGTCTCCAGTAGTAGTCGTTCCCAAGAAAAACGGAGAACTCCGGCCCTGTGTAGATATGCGGAGGGTCAACGACGTCACTAAGGACATCCGGTTTCCGATAGGCCACATCCAGGATATTTTGGATATTGCTGCACCTCCGGGTGGCGAGACTCGTTACTACTCCAGCCTGGACTTGAAGTCGGGCTACTGGCAAGTCCCGATGGCGGACGAGGCTTCTAAGGAGCGTACGGCATTTGCCACGCCCACAGCTCAGTATCGATATGTACGAATGCCCA